CGACAACCACGCGATCTGAACAACGGGACCAGACCAAATGACTATCACGACAAATCAATGAGACCAGGCCACAATGACCAGGCAATGTTTTAGTGAATGCCTGAAATATATCGGGAATCAATAACATATTCTCCGTGCAAACATTTAAATGACCATTACATTAACAATGCTTATCTCAGCTAACCTGTGCACATTTTTGTTGTGTATACGATCTACGTTTCAGCATCAGATATATGTAAGGATACTAAGTGATAACATTTGTTTGTATTGATAAAATAACTTTTAATAGTTTCTCAGTACCTACAAAGAAATCTCATCTCTTTAGAGGTACATCAGGGGAAATAGTTATTTATGTTGGCATGAAAACAACATATTTGATTTATTTATCTAACTTAAGTTTACAGTAAGTTTATAGTAAGTAGATGAAAAACCCCACAAAAGATGTTAATATAAATTAAAAATGGAGGACAAAAAGGCATTAGGAAAAACAATATATGTTAATGTGATTGTAATGACATGCAATGAATCTACTCTGATTTTAAATTTTCCTCGAAGGTATGCATTCGCAAAATCATTATTCGTATATAAGGACCTGTATCAGAATCTAATGAGAGCGGTCAAAGTTATCTTTTATCTATGAGTGCCGATGACTTTGCGTTAATCTTGATAAGGCTAAGATATGGTATGGGCTAGGCGTATGGGATAGCCTTATATAAAGCATAATACGTGGAACATTGACTACCTGACATAGCAATCAGAAGTAGGAAGCTACTAAGATTCATGAAGGTCGCAAGATTCCCAGGCAAATTTTGCTATTGTTCTATTTAACTAGATCTTCTATTAAACATGTATTAAACGTTAACCTAAAAGAAAAGAAAACAATGTATATATATAATCCCAATTCCTGGCATGAAAATGGCATTAATGCATGTAAACACACGACCCGTAAAAGCACGGGCTTTAGAAATCCGTAAATTTCTTAGGATTTAATATATAGTTGTAAAATTAATCGCTTTTATATAAATATATATGTATGTCAGAAATGCACTTGTAATTCGTTTTTCTGTTTTATTTGTTTCTAAACTAAAAGCTAAACCAGCCCTCGTCCTGGGGAATATTAACGGTGATGAGTGGGTGTTATCTTGAGGTAATTATCATGTTATAAATATATGCGAAGGACATTCTAGTAACCAACTATTCCCTTAACAGAAACAAATTTAACCTTCATCTGTGAGACACGTAATAAGATCTTTTATCTATTGTGACTGTCAACATATGTATCAGTTAATCGACCGAATAAAGTGTAAATAGGTCAAATATCATTTATCATATGACAGCAATGATATACAAAATATGTACATGGATACAGTTTCTTTCTGTCCCAAGTGTAATACAGCTTCTATTGTGCTGATTGGTTGGTGCTTTGTGAATAGTATTCATACTGGACAAAACGATCTACTACTTCTAACTACGAATTGTAAAGTGACAACTTGGTTCAAGAGCTCTATGAAATCATTTTCCCTACCCAAATAATACAAATCACCAATCGTCTTTTTTTTCAGAATGTAAATTAGTACAGCCATGTGCATGACTCTCAACCCAATAAGCTATTGAATATCTTCTCAAACTGAGCATTCGTAAAAAAACAAGAATACATTAATGTTGATAGCTTTTGAATTTCCTTATCAAAATCAATCGATGTGTTAACAGATAGTAATTATTGCCCCATGATATCAGGATAAAATATATTAACATGTTAAAATATTATTGGAAAGTAAGACGGTATTTATCGTTAAATTCCATAATACTGATTACATGTTTCCGTTATTTTAATACTGCATGTACAGTTAAGAGCAAACTTAACTTTGCATATAGTGCACTTTGTAGTACACACGTAGTGAACAAGGAAGTACACTAGACAAAAGATTGAAGTGAACTCCGGTTCATTTCAGTGTTAACTCCAGTGCACTACGATATTAACTCCAGTGCACAACGATGTGAACTCCAGTGCACTTCAGTTTTTTACCGAAGTTTAAAGGACTGAAGTACATACTTCAAAAATTGCTTATAATAAAATGAGTTCCTGAGTGATATAAAAATTGAAAGAGAAAGGAAAACAATCATTTAACTGAATATTTTATAATATCGATACTTTTTTTTTTCTTCTGATTACTTAAAATTTCAAATGAACATACATGTACATACAGGTACAAAAACAAATTACTATCTCCAGTGATTATAGAAAATCCATGAATAGCTTTACTTTTCAGAGGAAATAATTAAAAAGTATACTTTATCATAGTTAAATTCACATCACATTTCATATCAATGTTGAACTGTCAGGAGGGGATCAGTAACTCTGATGTGATATGAGTAAATGTGGTAAGTTTTCCTATAATTTTATACTTCTTTAGGAACATTTTCTCAATATCACGACTTCAATACAGTAATCCGGTTTTTTTTGTTTTATTAGAAAATATCAATGGCTTCATTAGTTCTATCTCATGTACAGTACTAAAACATAGAAAATTTAGAGAGAAAAAAAATGAGTTAGTCTGAATTCGATTTTTTTTGTTATATATGTATACACGTCATGTACACATACATGCTGATGGTTGAAAATGCATCCCTCAACCACCGCCCCCTCGCCTCATTCTACTGTGTTCCCACACCAAATTAGCTGGTTTCACAGGGAACTAAACGTTTCAATCATACAGTTACAACTTGTCTTCAGTGCCAGATTTAAATATAGTTGCTAGGGCAATGCGACCACCCGTTGACACATATTTTTCTTTTCATTACATCTATATGAAAAGTCAGTTTCTGACTTGCTGGCAAGAGTGGTCTGCTATTCATGAACTCTGAACTAGCTATTTTCCTCAATATTTAATGATTATATAACACTATATACATAAATAAGCAAAGTTATATTAAGATACACAATTACAGCATATAAACACTCCACCGGCTACTGTTTCAAAACTTAGTAAGAACACTGCAAACATAGTATTCGACATAACAGAAAATAAAATGAAGCAATTCAGCCAGAAGATTTTAAAATACATCTGGTGTATGTGTAAGATGTATTGCCAGTGTTCTACGTTTAAATATCAGCAGATATGTCTGGATTAGAAAATAAAATACACAGTTCATTTAATCGAAATGACTTGCCTCATTTTCGAAAAAGATTGAATTTGAGAATTCGTGTTCCTTTTATCTCTGTTCCTGTAGCTCTGCAATAAAATGTGTTTGAGAAACTAAAATAATGCGATTTTTTAATTCAACTATATTTACCGATTCTACACCGAAATTATATACACTAAAGAACAACGTCAGACATAACATCAGAATCATCAGGTAGAAGGTAGATATTTCTGGCTCAGAGAGTAAAATAACCAGTACAATTAAACGAAATCACCGACCTCATTTTCGGAGAAGTTATTATTTGAGAACTCGTGTTCCTTTAGCTATGCAATCCAATATTTCTATCTTTATTTCATATATTTACTGTACTCGCAGATAAAATTAAAACTAAGACAGTGTTATCTGTAACCACTTACCTGTTAACAAGATACATTTAAACTTGGTTTCCATTTCTATTTCGATAATTTCTAAATCTACAATGAACGTTTATTTATGGACATTTGTTTTTAAACGACCTTAAACGAAAAGTGTATAGGTATGGTCATAAACACATATGCACTGTACACGCAGATACACTAAAAATAAATGTATCTTTATCTTTAACCAGTTACTTGTTAATTACCAGGTAACAGGTTCGCATCACTTGTCAAAAGTGGAGGAGGTACGATATTTCCGATTTACGATAACAGACAATTAAACTAGGTAAGGTCAATTTCTGTTTCGATAAACTATAAATCAACGATGAACGTTCATCTTCGATCAACTCCATGCAATCCACTATTATTTCTAAGTATGTGTACAGTAGACTGACAGTACAACCCCATACTTGACTGTTTTATAGTGATTGTAATAACGTATAATGTACATTGAAGAACTGTTAGAAGTGCAGAATATACAAACCGGATGTTAAATACATATGAAAGATGAACCTCATTTCACTTCCCTCTTTCGGATTTTTTTCATTCCGTAAAATGAATCAACAAATCTTAAAAAATCGCAATATGTGCGCGTTTGTATTGCACATTCATTGTTAAATCGCTAAATTGTGGACACTATGATATGCACACGGTCATTGTGGTGCGTTGTTTACACAACTGTATTATGCCGATGACAAACTCTCGTTCTACCTAGTTTGCAGGTATTAGTCCACAAAAAACATCAGAATAGTATGTAAGGATTATGCTAATAACAGACGTAAATCGTGCTCCTATTTAAGGTTTCCCCTACTAGCACATTCAAATTTAGCGAATCCATTGTTTATTGACCATTTAGTATGTGTGTATTTGTCAGTCAGTACAGATACGTGTATTGGACTTCACAGTACAATGATCTTCAAATATCAATGCCCCTTGTGAACATATAAATAGTCTGTAGTCTTATACATAGCAAACTCTTTCAAATTTTAATCATTTATCTGAATCCACTGTTCATTTACCCCATTTTATATGTGTGTATATACACCGACATGGATGGCGTGTTATCAACTTCACAGTACACCGCGTTGACGTTATGTACTTTGTTCGGGACTCTGTTATAGATATTGATTGAATAGGACTCTATTAGATAAACCAAGCACACGTGATCCAACCACCATAAGGATCAGTTGAAGAAGGAAGTTTAATTCAGAACAAATGCAAATGGCGGTCTGTAAGATATGGCTTGTTTTCATATGATTTATCTAAACGTTAGTAGCAATGGCAAGTAAGTTATCTATCCACCGCGCACAGATGCACGTGCCCAACACGTGTGCTTGGTGTAAAAGCATACAGGACGTGAACTGGTATTGTAATGACTGTTTGGAGGCGTTATGTGACCGCTGTTTTGAGGGTCATCAACGCGCGAGAAAGACACGGAATGATGACGTCGTACCAATAAAGGAGGCGAACAAACTCGGGGAAGCCGTACTCCCAGAGGTTTGTAAGACACATCGAGGTAAAGCATGTGACCTGTACTGTAGTAGCTGTAAGGTCGTAATGTGTGCGATATGTTTTACCGAGAAACATAAACAACACACATTCAGAAATATTGAAGAGGAAATTGACTCACAAAAACAGTACATGCAAGATCAATTAACAAAATTAAAGTCCAAGTTAGACCATTTTGATGATAATCTATCAAAACGTCATGAAGTGAGCAAGTCATTCAAAGAGAGCACCGATGTCATTCGACAAACTGTACAAACCCAGAGACTGAAACTGAGAGCAGAGATTGATTCCATAGCCGACTCAGTCTTGGTCGAGTTATCGTCCCTGGTCGAAGAAGAAGACAAATCTCACAAGCAGGACTGTCAATCTCACGAAGAAAATATCAAAGAGATCAAACAACTGATCAGAGATGTAGAACAGAACACAGAACATATGTCCTGTACATCCTTGTTTGAGCTGACAGGGAGACTGAGAACCACCATACCGCTGTATTATGTTACTACAAAGACCGTGTTACCTCGCCCACCTCACTTCATGCCTGGAAAACTTAATCCCGATCAGTTGAAAACAATGATTGGTTGTCTTCAGGTCGACAAATTGGACAAAGAAGACATCGGGTATAAGAAGAAAGAAGTTGACGGTAAAGAGGTTTGTCAGATTTCTACATTCCGAGTACCTCAGAAGAGACAAATCAACTCAATATGTCCTATTGACGACAATCACGCATGGATGTCAGTATTTGATTCTAATAAATTGATCAAAGTCAACAATAACGGCAAGGTCACAGAGTCTATCAAGCTTGACTTTAATCCGTGGTGTCTGTCAGTGACCAACACAGAGCAACTACTGATCACGCGTTGTGATAGTTCACCGCTGATACACAAACTATCCAAAGGCAGACGAGTGCCCAGATTCGCTGACATCAGTCCGTTAGAAGCCTGGGGTATCAGTGTCAGTGACAATGATGAGGTGTTCGTTACTACTCACACTACAACAATACAGGTACTGAACATGTCCGGGGAGAGAATCAGACAAATATCGTGTGGAGGTGATGGGCTGAGTATTGTATGTTTGGCAGCAGTAAACATAGCCGTTATCACTGGCTATAATTGTATTATTTGTAAAGAAATGCTTGTCATCAACAAATCTGATCAGATCATACACAAGTGGAGTGGGGAACTGGATACTGGTCATAAGTTAGAAGAGACAATACAATGTAATATAGCACGTGATAGATATGACAGAGTGTTTGTACCAGACTACCACACTGACCAGGTATACATCATCTCGGGGAATGAGAGAAATGCCAAGTGTCTCCTCGACAAGAAATACGGTGTAAAACTTCCAACGGCTGTGTGTGTAGACAGGTGTGGACATGTTTGGGTCGGCTGTAACGATGGTTCAGTGTATGTGATGCAGCTATAAACACATTTGATAATATTGAAAGGAATAAAAGCAGGAATCACCATATTCTAGTGCTGATACAAACATCAGTGTTCAAATAACCTTAAAACGTCCACTGGACGTGTGTGTAGACAGGTGCGGACATGTTTGGATCGGATTCTTCAATGGTACAGTGCATGTGATAAAACTATAAACAAGTGAGAAGAGTTAAAGAATTAAGCAAATGACATTACATTACATTGGCAATTCAAATGATACTAACTACACCAGAAGTAAACGAGGCAATGTGATGTACCACGTGATAGATATGACAGATTGTTTGTACCAGACTACACCACTAACCAGGTATGCGTCATCTCGGGGAATGAGGGAAAGGCAAGTTGTCTCCTATACGAGAAACAAGGAGTGACAGGTCCAGTTGCTGTGTGTGTAGACAGGTGTGGACATTTTTGGATCGGCTGTACCAATGGATCAGTGTTTGTGATGCTACTATAAACACAAAAGATGACATTGAAATGAATGAAAGTAGAGAGCATCATATTCTTGTGCTGATACAAATATCATTGTTTAAATAATCATAAGCCTGACGCCGCAACATGATTCGAACTTATTTATATAGTCAGTGTAAACACATCAACTCTACAGACTGCGCACGTTTTACTGAGATAATTACATGTTTCTGTTTTCATATTTGATATTTCATCTGTAGGAAATTGTAATAAGGTGTTGTTCTATTTTTTTTCTGGATCGGTGTGCAATGTATTAATGAATACGAAATGTAAATGCATTCAAAATAACAAATCACAGTACAGTTACAGCTTGAGATCTGGTTATATTGACATCTTATATATAGACAATTTAGATAATTTTTGTATAATATCAATATTATGAAATGTAATTGCAGTTAGAAAAGAAAGTCAGCATCAGTTTTACATGTTAATATAGATATACATTTTAAATAAAATGACATATCACAATACATTTACAGTTTGAAAACTGGTCATATTGACACTTGTCTTTATGTACTGAGTGCATAGGGACAATTTATGTTAAACATTCTTTCTCTACTGCAATAGTGATCAGTTTCTATATTTTGTGTTTCTATCGACAAAACTGTACTACTTACTATGTATGTTTTATGTATATATAATTATCAAATAAAGACCACGAGCGACATATACATTATAAAGTTATAAATTTGGTAAAATAGCAATGTTATGAAATGTAATGGCCGTTAGAAAAGAAAGTTAACATATATTTAATCCAACATTATTGAAGTTAATTAATGAAAATCACATGCTAAAGAAAATCAATAAGATTTCATGACACTCTATCTGAATAGCTATTTCATTATTTTTCGTGGTGGGTAAATGCAATATATTGCTTGCAAATAATTTATCCCCAGCAACTATTATCATAAACCCATACATATAGACATTTTACATGAGTTCTTACATCTTACTAGTGTTAAGGATGAGATGCCTACTATTTTATATTAAATATGCAATTTGTATTTGTTTGTCTCAATTGCTGTGCTTAGATCATCACTGCAAATAAAATGGCTGGATTGTACACTATAGTTCTTTTGTTGTAGACTAAACATTTTGATTAAGTTTGAATTTTACTGCTCAAATATTTTGACAAGTATTTTGATGACATATTATCGATAGCCCCATTGGATTGAGATCAGGACTAATAAATGATCAGCAGTCTATGACTATCGGCCGGACTAGTACATGTATTGGACGTTTTACAAATGTCTACGCATGGGTACAGATTGTATGGTTTGGATTACAAAACTGAATTATTAAATTCCAAAATGCGTCATAACATATTCTTGACTTTGTAAGTTGATGATCTAAACAAGATTTTAAAAAAATATAAACATTTTACCACAAGAATGACGACGTTAGCTTCATTCTATTCAAACCAAGTTTTGCTACACCTAAAGTATCGATATGGAATCCTTATATAACTATGTGTATATATAGTGTTATGTGAAGAGTATCAAACAGGTACTATTATAACAAGTGCTTTTACAAAAATGGATGATCATCATGCTTCGTTGGGTCTGCAGTGGCCGAGTGGTGATGAGTCTGACATTCTGCAGTCGCCATGTACTGGCCGCATGTCAGAGGATTTTCTCCGAGAACTTCGACATCCCTCCCCACCAAAACCTGACACGTTAAATAGCCATATCTGTTACTTGGACGTAAAACACAAGCAAACAAAAGTACTGCAGCAGTATCATCATGCTAGGAATGTCTTTTGTTTTGATTTTTTGTCGTCTTGGCAACGGCTGAGGTCAAACGAAGAGGGAGACAACTCTGAACGGGAAAAGTAGGAAGATGAGCTAAATATATTGTGGCTAAACTTTCAAGAATATTTACAAAGCAATCAATTTTGTTAAAACAGATATTCAAATTAGTTATTGTACAATTCTCTACAAAAGTCATCCCATCAAAACACTGAAAGGTTATCATTTCAATAAGCTGTAGTAGAAAGGAGTTATCTCTCTTAGACTAAATGTAGTTGACAATATGTTTTAGTTACGCATAAACTCTCCATTTGCTTGATTAAATCAAGTCAGCAATAATTTATATTGTTCAAAATACTCCCAATTGAATTTCATTAAATAACGTTCCATGTAGACTTCTCCTATTTTTTCTTAATGCATTTTCTCCTTGTAGAATACATCTATCAATATGTTTTTAGTATACTTGTCTTGATAATTCCTCCTAGTAGATAACTCGTCAAAATATACCCTTTGCATGACTGATTATTCTTAGCTTCTCCCAAGATTTTGTCTTTACCTCTTCAACACATGTATAAATGGTCACCTGAACCTGATATATTCACATAAATAATGTCGTGAATTATCTACATCTCTTTAAAGGATCTTGTTTAAAAGACAGATAAAGAGTCTTCTTTAAAATGAATATATATTGCTACGTTATCAACGAAATCCAAATGTCAGCCAAGTCGCAAAACGGGGAAACTATTTCTTGAAAAATAACACGATCACAATGTTTTATTTTAATCTAAAATTACTCCAGCATTTCATTAATTTTCCAAGATATCAGGGATTATTATGATTAATTGAAATTTTGAATTTCCTTTCTCTAACGAATTTCGTGACAATAAAGCGAGACAATAGACTCAATAGAACATACTGAACTGACATTCAGAGTTGGCTATCGCTATCCTGTTTATCATTCTTTAAAGAATTAACAACTCTAATTAAAAAAATAAACAGTCTGTATATTAGACATGTAGACACCTTCTTTCTTTACATTATCGTTTATTCCCTGGTCAGAAGACACTAAAACAGCAATTAATAACAATAAATATCAACCTTTCCTACCCTAGACATTTACATAATAGAACAGGCTCACTTGCGCTAACGTAACAGATTAACGCACTTGATAACTTTACGCTTCGCTATATAACTATTACTAAATCAAAATACTGAACAACACAGTCGCAATCATCTGAGATCCAATACACATGTGCGTAACACTTGTGATAAGTTACACAAAACCTACATCTGTAAATACATCAGATTTATATATGAATTACCAGCGACTGATGTAATTTACAATTACACTTACAAATCTATCACATCAGTTAGAAATATCGAATAAACAGGATAAAAAAATACGACCTACCTCTTCAAAGGGAAGAGGGGCTAGATGCAAGGGAGACAACCTGTACAGCGTATGTGGACTTTGGGTTTATTCAAATACTACAAATGAAGACATTTATAACATTTACTACAAACTGGTCGAACAAAATCATCGTTACCAAACTGTACAAACACTTGGAACAAAATGGCGGGAAAATTCAAATTTGAATTAGTTTAAACATTCAATTAATTTACTGAATTGGTTTTACATGTTACAAATGTACATTACCGATGTATACGGTTTATACATATATATTAACCATAGAAAATGCAATGTACTCAAAATTATTGTGGTCTGTAGCCAAAAAGATCAAAACAATGCAAATAAAAAATTCCGCACACACAGGCTGAAAACTTGTGCAGGTGTGAATAAAATTTAACACAAGCGCGACTCACTTCGCAGACCACTAACTGGCCACTACAAATTTTTTTTAAATACATTAACCCCTGACCCAGGTCGGACAGGTGTACATCCAAACTAAAAATAGATCACTGTCATATATATATATAAATATGACAAGTGCTCGTATACACTTATTAAGTATTGATACAAACAACTAAATAATATGTCATAAATGACACTGTTACAGTCTGAACATCAGACATCCCGATCTTGAAATTAAGCAGGAAATCTACAATTTGCATGATGAATATGGGACTATGTCGGAAAATGGTTTCGTTGTCAGAAATCTCCATTTTCTACTTACATAGGAAATATATAAATATCTATCTTCAATAAGATTCATCAGTTTGAAAATATGTCATATCAAAGCTTTACTTTATACACAAACAATATACGTATTGATCCATCCTCGATATCCAGGGGTTACGCTCACTTTCGCTCTATACACCCCTGGAATATGTCAATGCAAAACTGAAGGCTCTGTGTGCGCCACCTTATGGATGAGACGAGAAGACTAGTTCGATCCTTTGGTATACATCAAAAGAATCTCGCAATCACGTAACGGAAAAAAATGACAGGCTTTGAAGTCGGGTGTTGCTACTTTGTAATCTTCACAGGACAGGTATCAGCCTAGCGATTGGTCATTTTTTACCTGCGACCAATCAAACAGCTATCGTCGTGCCTTCAATTTTACTATGACATATTCCAGGGTGCAGAGAGCGTAAGTGAGCGTAACCCCTGGATATCGAGGATGGTATCAGACGTGTCGCAACGCTTCACGACCGACTGGTCCCATTGTCAAGCTATGACTGAGTGAGCGATATGTGTTGTTTACCTGTACAACAATGTGACGAAATTGTATAATTCTTATGATTGTATGCACATTGTGTCGAATATGTATTTTAAATCAAGCTTGCTCGGCAACTAAATAAATCTTACTTGTAGTTTTTCCAAAGGCATAATATTCGATTACCATTCTCCCTTACCCTATATTTCCATATTCCGTTTTATAATGGTACAGACCTGCTTTATTTGACTTGAATCCGAAGCTGCACAGGAAACCATATAAAATATATAGCTGGCATAGTAAACTGCTTTTCAAATGAGTCAATACATGTCAATAAATTTTGCTTAATCATGAAAAAGATGCATTGTAAAGGAATGTCTAAATCGATGACGTCACGATGTTCACAGAGCGGCACTCGAGTTTAAACAGGTTAACGAGTGTCTCAACCTGGTATTGTAAAGTATTTGTTGGCATTATAGTATGAACTTTTCATTGCAATGTGTATGTGTATATGAATACATTGAAATAATACATACATGACAACTTATGAACAACATTAACATCTGAAATTCGGTCCATTTTCGTTCTACCTGTCCAGCAACTTTTACCCGATCGACACAAACACACAGTTTCCCAAAATTGCTGTATATGATATCTTAGCAGTGTTCCGAGGAATATGTTTCAATACAATTGCTTATTAACATCTAAATAAGTTCAATATAACTTTGTCCTGCTTTATAATAATAATAATAAGTCGAGGTTCTTATATACCGTTATATCACAACCTAGTTCGTAGGTCGTCTCAAAGTGGTTCACAAATTATCATACGTGGTTTTAGGGCCTTTGCAACCAGACAATATTTTGCTCAACTCCCTTGGGAGCATACATCCGTTGCTGCCATTTCGGCGCTCACAGCCTGCATTCTACAATTCCAGCACTGCCAAACCACGTTCTCATTTACAGCTGAGTAGACTGGAACAAGTAGAGTTAGGTATATTGTTCTAATATACAACACAGTGCCGTGATGTGACTCGAACCCGAAATTCTTCGGTCACAACCATTTCCTTTCGACTCGCCTTGCCTCTAATAAGAACATGCTATTTCCTTTCGACTAATAAGAAAACACAAATAATAATTATTTGAACACAGTGAAATAGCTATAATTGTCTGAGTAAATCTAAATTTGTAATGCAAATATCACCGTAATGTTGTTTTGTCCTTGGATTTGTCAATCTTATTAAATCAGTGGACACAAATTGTTCAGACGTCATGCCTGCTTTTATTATTTTCATTTAGTCATAATCAGTTTAAGCCTTGTTCCTAGCAAGGAATGATCACAGAAGGACATGTTGATTCAACGATTTCTTAATGATTTTTAAGAGACAGTTGCACACAAATTTGGTAGGTGACTGTATATGAGGTATACTCCAGAGTGTTACGTCCTATTAACAGCTATTGTCATTTAAGGACGTGTCAGGTTTTGGTGGTGGAGGTCCCGGAGAGAAAGCATCGACCTACGGTCAGTACCTTGCAACTGCACTACGTAGGCATCAAACCCGCGACCTAGTGGTGGAGGGATAGTGGTAGCAGAATGTAAGACGCCTTAACCACTTGGTCACCGCAGCCCAAAATATAATGAAACTCACCATCAATCGTGGTGCGCTCGCAATGTATAATCATCAGATATGTGCAGAAAGGAAACATCTATGTGAAAATTCAGTAAGTTAATGCAGACAGACAGATACAGTAAGCAATTACTGCACCATATGTACGTCTTGTAGTGCTTATAGTGTTTGCAGGGTTCACGATTTGTTACGTATCATATCAACACATTAATTAGAGATACGACCACCTCGTCGAAACACGCATCTTGAGCAAATGATGATATTTTAAGCAAGGCCTTATAACAAGATACGGCTATCAGTATGACCGCTATTTTGATTCATCACATGACATCGTAACAAACGATAGCATGCCTAACGACGTTCAGTTTGACACGAGTTTAAGCTTCGACTAGTAATACACTAGCTTTTCGTTACATTTGCGTTAGCAACCTGGACAAGATGGCAAGTAAATTGTCAACCAACAATACCCAGGTGTCAGTGAAATAATCATGCAGTTTGTGTGATACTATACAGGACGTTAACTGGTACTGTAATGACTGTCAGGAGGCTTTGTGTGAAAAATGTAAGGAAGGTCATAAACGAGGGAAGAAAACACAGGAAGACGACGTTGTACCAATTACGGAGCTCAATAAGCAAGTCACGCCGAACCACCAGAGGTATGTAAGACGCACCCCGGTAAATCCTATGACCTATATTGTTGTGACTGTAATATCGTTATGTGTACGATGTGTTTTACCGAAAAACATAAACAACACACTTTCAAACATATGAAGGATGAAATTGATTCAAGGAAACACTATTTATTCGATCAGTTGAAGACATTGAGGTCAATGTTTGATCATTTCAATGAAAATCTTTCAAAGCGTCACGAAGTCAGTAAATCATTTAAAGAGATCGCCGAAGTGATTCGGATAGATGTAGAAAACCAGAGATTGAAACTGAAGGCAGAGGTAGATTCCTTGACTGAGTCTGTATTGACCGAGTTATCGTCTCTAGTTGCGGAAGAAGAAAAATCACACAATCAGGATTGTCAAATTGACGAAAGAAACGTCATAGAGATAAAGAAACTAATCACAGATGTAGAGCAAGAGGCAAAGAAATTGACGTGTGAAACCCCGTTTGAGCTGACAGGGAAACAGAGAACCGCCACACTGCTGTATGATGTTGCTGCGAAGAGAGTGTTACCTCGTCCTCCACATCTCGTGTCTGGACAGCTTAATCTGAATCATTTGAAAACAATGATTGGATATCTCGTGATCGACAAGTTGGAAGTTTTGGGGTATGAGAAAAAGGAAATTGACAATCATCACGTTCAACACATCTCCAGATTCCGAGTGCCACAAAAGAGACAAGTCAACTCAATATGTGCTATTGACGAATCTCACGCATGGGTGTTAGTGCATGGGTCTGAAGGATTGATTCAGCTCAACAAGCAAGGCAAGGTAACGGATACCATCCCACTTGACTTCAAACCATGGTGTCTAACATTGGCCAGCAACTCCGAGCTACTGATCACGTGCCAGGGTGATTCCCCAATGATATACAAACTGTCTAACGACAGACAAGTGACCGTATTTGCTGACATCAGTCCTATGCAAGCTTGGGATACCGGCGTTGATGAGAGTGGCGAAATTTTCGTTAGTACTAGAACCCAAACAATACTGGTTCTAAACAGCTTCGGAAACATTGTCAGACAAATCAATTGTGGACAGAATGTGCTGAGTATCGTCTGTTTAACAGGTGGAATGTTCGCTTTCGCCACGGGTAGACCGTATAATTGTAAAGAATTGTTCATCATTGACAAACGTGGGCAGATCCTATATAAGTGGGGAGGAGAACTGGACAATGGTACTACGCTTTCGAAGATAGGACAGTGTAATATAGCACGTGATATGTATGACAGAGTGTTTGTACCAGACTTCAACACAAAACAAGTGTACGTCATCACGGGGGAAGGGAGAAATCCCAGGTGCCTCCTAGACAAGAACCACGGCGTCATTCGTGCACTGGCAGTCTGCGTGGACAAGTGTGGACATGTTTGGCTCGGCTGCAGTGATGGCAGAGTACATGTTATGCAGCTGTGAACAAATAGTACGATATCACGATAAGTGAAAACAGACAGCATTTTGTCTTTAGAGCTGAAGAGCAAAAGTCTGCATTCTATGAACCTGTACAGCCGACGGCAACACATTGGTTCAATGCAACATCTAATTTGAACGATTAGACACGCGATCACAATGATAACAAATCAACGATACATATTATGGAAGAGTGTAGCAAAGTCCATCATCTTGTACAACTCGGAATATTTAACACCGAATAACAGTGGTAGCATATACATGTAAAAATCAGTGATACCGATTATTGTGGTTCAAATTCAACATTTTACAAATACGTTTTTGTTTTTTATTTCAATATATCATTATAGGGAAATTGTAGCAGATTTACATACTGAAATATAGCAGATCCTGATGGGCATTCCGTGTAAATACTGGAATGTATTGAAGAAACATTTCTTATCATAGCCTAATCAATGTTCAAAAACGATGTTTAACCGTTCCTTTGTTATAGTAATCATCTAACCATTGTAACCATTTCTGTCAATGTGATTATTTAAGCATCATTATTTTTGTTAACATGTTTTCAATTATTTTTCAAACTTGTATACTGTTGTGAATTATGAAATGATCATCTTTACCACATGGTGTATGAGAATAGTCTTCGATGCTGGGACAAACCGTTGTTTGTTTTGTTTAGGTACATGTAGAATCCCATACGGTAGGAATACATGCAAAGAAAGTCAGGCGGATCCTTAGGGGTGATACACATGTTGGTCAAAATCACACATGTTAGGCTATAGTAAAGGTACCATCTATATTTATGTTATATTTACTATTTTGTATGTTGTGTTAGCATTTATTATGTTATATTTTGTTAACATTTATTATATTATGATTTATGCATCTTCGCAACTGGACACCTGAAAATGATGATTCGAGCTACTATTTTTTTTTCATCAAAGTGTTGAAACTGTAGCTTACCATTTTATAACTGGAGTTGGCTATCAGGCAACATTTTTGCGAAGTACCAGGTTTAAGCTTGGTCAGGTTTACCCCTGAGTAGTACGTATAGCAATACTTGCATGCATATTTGTATATAGGGGAAAAGGTTTTGTGTACATTTTGTATATGTCTGTTATTCGATAAGTAATAATTAGGCTCAATTCAACTAAATTGTATTACAGTATTCATTGTTAACTACTTAACATTATTTCACCAATCATTGCTTAACCAACAACAATTTTCCCATTGTACTATCTGTTTGTATTGTTAGACCTTAACCAATAACAATTTTCTCATTGTACTATCTGTTTGTATTGTTAGACCTTAACCAATAGCAATTTTCCCATTGTACTATCTGTTTGTATTGTCAGACCACAATGACCTGTCGCGTCGCAATTAACGTGGAATATACATTTCCGGCGATTGCAGTTTTACAGATATGCTCACCTGTTCATTGTGCAGGTGTATCAAGTACAGTATACGATATATTTTCTGCTTTTCTGTTTTAGTATAGGACTGTTAAAGGCACTATTAAATCATTTATTGATTTTGAGGGGTTTTTAGGGGTTTTTTCTGCTACCATTCATAAAAGATAAAAACAAAATCCTATATTCCTTATTGGAATATTGGTACACCTGTAATTAAAAAAATGGTATTTGGAGGGCAACATGACAGGCACGTAGCTTGGTCTGAACTTCTCATAAAAAATTAATATGGGTACGTTGTATATTGTGAAATCAAATAATTTCATGGGGCCAACATTTCATAGTTTCCCAAAAAAACCATTCGTAAGTTCATAAATTCGTTGGTTACAAGTGCTCTCAAAAACTAAACTAATACAATTTCACAGCATGTGTACATATATATACCATTATAAATTAGATAAATATTTTCATCAACTATTTATCTTCGATATCAGTCTAGGCTTGTGTAAAAGTCCACTTGTATACTAAGATATTGTAACAGTATTATTCAGAAATAAATCTTTTGATGCAATATTTGTTGTGGTTATTCTGGGTTCTAAGGTTAAAAGGTTAAAGTAATGAAAGCACAGACACAAAGTCAACGTTCCTAACCTTATATTCAACACCGTATGTTAAAACATACAGTAGGGTAAACGTTCTGAGACATAATCAACACTTTATGTTAAAACACAGAGTAGAGTCAACGGTCCGAGACATAATCAACACTTTATGTTACAGCAGTGGCATCGTTCCGAGACATTATCAACACGGTATTTTAAAACATACAGTAGAGTCAATGTTCCGAGACATAATTAACACCGTATGTTAAAACATACAGTAGAGTCAACATTCCGAGACATCGTCATCGTTCCGAGACATAATCAACACCGCATGTTAAAACATACAGTAGTCAACATTCCGAGACATAATCAACAATGCATGTTAAAACATACAGTAGAATCAACGTTCCGAGACATAATCAACACCGTATGTTAAAACATACAGTAAAGTCAACATTCCGACACATCGTCAACGTTCCGAGACATAATCAACACCTTATGTTAAAACATACAGTAACGTCAACATTCCGAGACATCGTCATCGTTCCGAGACATAATCAATACCTTATGTTAAAACATAAAGCGGAGTCAACATTCCGAGACATATTTAACACCGTTTGTTTAAACATACAGTATTCTTAGTTTAAACATACAGTTGTCTAAGTCAACATTCCTTGCCAACTTTATAATAATTATAATAACTTGAAGTTCTTAAACCGCTTAATCATAACCTAGTTCGTAGATCGTCTCAAAGCGGTTCACAAACTATCATCTGTGGATATAGGGACTTTGTTACCAGCAAAATGTTTTCTTAACTCCCTGGGGAGCATACAGTCAGTGCTGCCATTTCGAAGCTAACAGCTAGCATTCAAAAGTTCTAGTACTGCCAAACCACGTACTCATTTACAGCTGAATCGACTGGAACAAGGGGAGTAAAGTATCTTGTTCTAAGATACAACAAAGTGTCATGACATGACTCGAACTCGCAACCCTTCGGTCACGTGCCCGTCGTCCTACCACTAGACTACTGTGCCTCCATGTGTCTATTTCTATTCAGGACTCCTGTCCTACTGCACTGTGTAGGCCGGTTATCTTCCGTCGACCTTGCATCTCAGTATGTTACAGCGATAGCACATATCTAAAGTCAAGAGTTCGTATCAAGGTCTATACCCGCTGATTTGTTTACACTCAGCACTATTTTATTTATGATATTGTATGCATTTCATCTTTGTTAATTCTTCTTACATATGTATCGCAAGCTACGGGGTTCTTATATACAAATTTATGAAAACAACATTTGATAAAGCGCCCTATCTAGCTCGAAAACCACTCTAAAGCGCTTTACAATACGTAGATGCAATAAATACAATAAGCATATACATTAATCAATACCCTTTGGAGGTGCTGCCTTATAAGGCGCTCACTACCAGTATCATACCCTCTGGATTTGTCTTCTTGTTTGTATGCCTGTGTGTGTGCTGGGAATGTATTTTTAGAAATGATTTATCAAAGATAAAGTCATGTCGGACAAAAATAGTGCCCAATGTGTAGTTATCGTTGTGGCAATAGCACGTCGATCCTAAAACAAAAACCGCACAGTCAGCATTCAGCCAAAGCTTTATTACTATAAACACAGAGTCAATATTTAATAACAAAATCGAATCACTATGTCTACAAAACTGCAGTTAGGACATCGTCATAATTCAAGGACAAAATGAAAGCCCAATGACAGATCATGTCCAACATCAACGGACAAATCGAAAATATTTATCAAAATAAAACAAACACCTTGGCAGGATTCTCCCCAGAATGTCTTTAAGCTATTATTTTTCATTTTCAAACTAGGTCATTTTAGGGAGGGGGCGTCACGTCAATGTGACCCTGCTTTTTTCCCTCGATTTCAATACGCACTCTATAAACAGATAATTGTGTTAATTCAAAACTAAATAAATATACAGAGTTTCAGCATTACAGTTGTTTGAATACTCTAAAATTCAGAACATTATATTTGCAAAAGATTTATAAAAGATTTAACTCTATGTCTTTAAAATATTCAGGTACAATTTAAAACACTATATCTATAAAATATGTATAATAGATGTTATGTTTAAGAACAAATCATACTCTATATCTATCAATGATTAATAACAGATTTATGTTCAAGTACAAATTAAAACCCTATGTCTGTAAATAATTCATAATAGCTTAAATAATTCAAACTGTATACCTATAAATTATTTATAATAGATGTTATACTCAAGTAAAAATTCAAACGTTATGTCTATAAATCATTTACAATAGATTTATTGTTCAAGTAAAAATTCAAAAGTTATGTCTATAAATTATTTATAAATGATTTTATGTTCAAGTACAAATTTGAAAGGCTATGATTATTAATTATTTATCATATATTGTATATTCAAGAACAAATTAAAACTCTATGTCTGAAAATAATTTATAATAGCTTTAATGTTCCAGTACAAATTCAAACTTTATATCTATAAATCATTTATAATTGATTTTATGTTAAAGTAAAAATTTAAACGCTACGTATATTAATCATTTATAAAAGATTGTATGTTCAAGTACAAATTCAAGCCTCTATGCCTATATAATATTAAAAAAAATATTCAATATTCCAGTACAAATTTGAGGCCTCGTGTCTACAAACCATTGTCCATGTCAATAAAAAACAGTGTTAATGGTAGGGTACAATTTCAAATCTGATAAACATAACCTTGAGTTAACATTCCCGAACACAGACAAATCCGTATGTTTATGAAAGCCACAATAGAAAACCGGGTAGAAAATACATAAATACAAAAGGTGGAGGTTAAATTAGATTGTCGCGTTGATACAATATTTGACAGTGTTTGTCAGTTACGTCGAATACATCTTAATAACACGTAATATTACGTCAACAAAGTGGAAGAGGAACAAGTCTAAATCAAAATGAGGTCAGTGACCACTTTCCTCCAAGGACAACGCTTGTTGTATA